GGGCGAGGTGGAGCTTGCGCACCTGGGGGTCAGTTGGAGCTGTAGTCGCGCTCTTGACTGCTCGGATGAATCAATATTGATGAATATTAGCTCCTCCTCTTCAGGTACCCTAGTATTGGTCCCCGACAGCTCTGACTTGGGCCAGGGTCCCAAGGGAGATTAGCACGTCCACACGACGTCCTAGCACCTGGTAGAAAAAACAACAAAAAGTCTTGATGATTTGGAGGCCTTTTTGACATGATATTGAGGTGGAATCTGTTAACACTGGATTTTGGTCAATTCTGGAAGATGACAGGTGGACCCACATGCAGGAAGAAGAGTGTTCGGCAAATAACGCAAGCGGTCGGCTAAATGCTTGTGCGGTCGGTTATTCTGGAAGGCGGTAACTCCATTCGGGAAAGCAGAAGATGGCAAGCAAAGCCGATCGAGAAGATGAAAGTTGTAATAATAAAGGACTCTGAGAGTTTGGGGCAAGGAATCGTAGTTTCCAAGTTTAAATCCATTTGAAAGCTTATCAAACAAGCTTTTCATCAAGTGTTCATTGACCTCAATTGTACTCAGGATGAAGAAGTTACGGCCTTTCCAATGAAGTAATATCGGGCTGTCGATGAACCGAGTGTTGCGCTTTGAAGATCTCATACCCCAAGATGGGTCTTGAGCATGGTGCATCCACATCCCATCATCATCTACGCTGATCCTAGGCACTTTTGAAATATCAATATTAGGTACCAACCAATTTTTAGTTTTATCATTATCGAAACATTGGAACAAGCTCACCTTACGATCAATGGTCGTATCGCAAGGTTGCTGTCCTCATCACATATATCAGCTTGAGATTGTAGTCTGCATGTCTTCATGTATTTCTTTTAAGTACTACCTCCGTCCCCAAAAGAATGTAATTGTAGCACAGTGTCATGTTTTAGTACCTTAAGTTTGACCAATTATAGATAAGAAAGTATCCATATTTATGATACCAAATAAATACCATCAGATTAATTACGAAATGTATTTTCATAATAAATTAATTTAAAGTCATAAATATGAATATTATTCACTAAAAACTTGTTTCAACACGAACCACTTTTCATGGCACGCAACCCATAGTTGCATTCTTTTCATGATGGAGGTAGTACATAGCAGTTTATTCCTTAATTGTCATAGACTAGGGATACATGGACAATTTAAAATCGAGTACTAATCTATCTTAAAAATCCTAAAACATAGAGGGGAGGGAGTACCAATCAGTGGACTGATAATTAGTTGTAGGTGATCAAACTGACCATGACTCCATGAGGCATTCCGTTACAACTTACCCGTACTCTGTACTAGAATCGTTAGGAAAACATGCTGGTTGTTGTCCACGACCTTTGTGCTAACACTGACGAACGGTCGAGAGAGGGGCAGTTCCCAAGTATGGTGAGAGGAGCGAATGGGTGCCGAGAGCTCAGTCGCTTCCCGGCTCTATGCTTTTGTGTTCTGATTGGTTCGGGGTTCAATGGGTTCCAGTCCGAATCGATGCGATGTGTTACGATGCCCCTTATGGGATACCTTGCTTTCCCTTTTATAGGCCAAGGGAAAGCACGGGTTACAGTGGAGGGAAAAGAGAAGAATGAGAAGGAGAAGAAGTCCTCGAGGATCGCCGGGTCCTTCTTTTCCTTCATGCGGGTCACGCCGACCCTGTAGACGTCAACAGGGATAGCTCCATGTCGCGGCCCTGTCCGCCACTGGCATCATGTGCAGGCGTCGTCTCCCGGTCGTGGCGCTCTACTCCGTCCTAGCAGACGTCGTGGTGAACCGACGCTGTCACTCCTCGTAAAGGGTTAGGCAGAACAGCACCGGTACCCGACGTTATTCCTGATGACTCCATGAGGCATTCCGTTACAACTTACCCGTACTCCGTACTAGAACCGTTAGGAAAACATGCTGGTTGTTGTCCACGGCCTTTGTGCTAACACTGACGTGACGTGCTGTTGGAGCGCCAGCTACGCATCATAGGCAAGCAGAGTGGCTAGAGTATGCGCTGGCACAGAAGATCCTGTATGCGAGTATGATTATGGTACAGGCGTACAGCTCCTGACGGGATTTAATGCGGCTGTCGGCTACTTGCTCGCTGCCATAGTGGCATGCTATGCTCCAAGATCTATCCTTTGATACATGAAACCAAACCCGGTAACAGTACAAAAATGTATTATTGTACCTAGTAGTAAACCAGGATAAGAAAGGGGAAAAAGATAAAGATTATTAGAAAATTAAATATTCTTTCTAAATACAAAGTATATGTATTCTAACATTAACACAAACGCCCCGTTCGCTTGTCTGGGAAAAAGAAGCCAAAACACTGTAGCTGCTGGTTATGTGAAAGAGAAACACTGTTCCGGCTAAAACCGGCTGAAAGTGCTACAGTGACCCCGTGAGACACTTCCAGCCGATCCAGCACCAGCCGATCGAGCTGCCGCCGCGTGAACGGGGCCAAACTACATATTTAAGCCAATGTATCTTATATGGATGGAGGGAGTGTACCACAAAAAGTAGTCTTTTGTGCGACATGGAGATACATGTTATATTCTCTAAATCAGTCGTTGGTGTGACAATGTTAGTACCAATAAACAGTTTTGTGATATACTCCCTCGCCCCTCCATCTTAAATATAAGATACACTAATAAATTCTCCTTCACATGTCTTTTAGCAAGATTTTGATTTGTGCTAATTGACATGTATCTAAGAAACAAAATTAGTGATCAGAATATCGAATGACTTCTCAAAACTCAATATAATTTATAAACAGAATGAAGGAAATAGTCATTTCGATGTAGGCCAGTTAAATTTACATGCAAAATAGATATTATAAAATTTATTTTTATAATCTATTTATTTACTATTATGATATTATTGTTCTTTACTATAAACGTATAAAGTTAGTCAAACTTATGATTCTCATAGGGTAAGAATAGACTTACTCCCTCCGTCCCAATATAGGTGACATTTTTTACTTTTGGACATCTTGTTTGACCATTCGTCTTATTTAAAAATTTTGTGTAAACTATAAAATAAATAAATCATTATTAAAGTATATCTAATGATAATTAAGTCATAACAAAATAGATAATATTTACACAAAATTTTTGAATAAGACGAACGGTAAAAAACGTTACTTATTTTGGGACGGAGGGAGTATTTCAAAACAAAGGAAATATAAAATAAAAGATGAGATACTACACATATACGGCGGGGCATATACGGTGACAGAACAGACTTTTAACCTTTGATTGAGATGGCGACTTTTCTACACTTACCGGGCCCGCATGTCAGGCTTAACGCTGTGACGGAGGCAGGCTTTCCCATCCCATGTCTCAGACTGACCACAGCGGCTGCTGCTGCTGATGTACCCGTACTAGCCGTGTCAAACGGGACTGTGGTAATGGAAATCAGGAGGGCAGGCAGAGCAGGAGCCAGAGGCTCCTTCACATGCGCGTGTTTCGAGGGAAACCATAATGGCGCCTTGGAACGGCAGACAGATGCCCACTCCTCTCTCGAGTCTGGACAAAGATTTGCTCAGCACCTTTTCTAATCTTCTCTCCTCGAGGACACTGTCCTAAACACACACACACAAATTCATTGCATTGTTCGAAAGCTAGATTAAGAAGTGTTTCTAGCGTCGAAATCTCTAAAGGCGCGTTTAGTTTCAAAAATTTTTGGTTTTTGTCCATCACAATTTTTTGATCCATGCATGAAGCATTAAATATAGACAAAAAAAAACTAATTGTATAGTTGGGTGAGAAATCGCGAGACGAAACTTTCGAATCTAATTAGTCCATAATTAGACACTAATTGCCAAATACAAACGAAAATGCTACAGTAGCCAAACTCAAAATTTTTCACGAACTAAACGTGCCATAAGTTTGTTTTGGTTTATGTAGCCAAAAAATCTCAATTACTTCTACTACATCAGTGCACCATTTACCCTCAGGAAAGAAAATGTCCAGATAATGCACGCATTAACATGAGGCCAATGGCCAACAGTAAAGTGAATCACCTTTGGCCCTTTGCTATGGCTGTTGGCTGCCTGCCTGCAGCAGTGTATCACTATCACACAAAACAACACCTGCAAAAACTTTTCACGCCGCCTGCAGGCCCCGCGGCCACACCACACCACACCACACCACACCACACCAGAGGCTTTTTTCCCCTCCCTCTGAGCTCTGGGAGAAGTGGACGACCCACGCTCCTCAGCTACAGTCTTGCGCCGCTCACACTCCTCCTCGAGCTCTCACACTCACTGGCACTGCACATCACATTCACGCCGGAGGCTGCCTGGAGCTGCTCTTGTTCTTCCTGCTCATCTTTCTTCTTGCTCCGATCCAAGAAGTGAGTAGGCCGGCTCTGTGCTCGATTTACTTATTAACGGTTAGTATTTTTTTGTGCTTACTTTGATGTGCTTGTCATTCTTGGCAATGCCAATGGAACTTCTTGAGAAGCCAAAAAGACCTATTTTTTTCCTAAAAAAAGAGAGGAAAAAAGAGAGGCAGAAACATAAAAGGAACTTGTTGGGCTTGTTTTCTTTCCTCTCCAATACTAGCGAGATTACACATGTTTCTTGATTTTTTTTGGGAACTCACATGTTTCTTGATTTGTTTTCGTTGTTGCTCCATGCAATGGTTCCCTGGGCCCGAAATCCTTGTCCCCTTTTCCCCTCAGTATCTGCGACTGTTTTGATGTCTTCCTGTTCTTGCCCAAGTCCCAAAGGCAGCGACCTTTTTTTTTTAAAAAAAAGGAAGATTTTGTCCTTTTCTACCCTTATTTTTTTCGACATGGTTTCTCTTTCTGGAGACCAATCCCAACCGCTCCACTGACCCGCTTCTTTTTCTGCGTTGCGTTTCTTGGCGTTTCCGTGTTTGCAGGTGAGTCACAGGAGATTGCAGCGGTAGGGTTCAGGTTCAGGTTTCAGCCTCTTCTCCGTTTCCGCTTTACGGGGGTGATTGGGAGCTCGAGGCGACGCCGCAATGCCGAAGATGTTTGGTTTCTCTCGGCGCCGGATGAAGCTGGGGAGGTCAGATTTCAGTTCCTATAGCCCATAGATTTCTGCAGTTCTTTGTTGTTTGGCTCGTATCCGTTTTTTTGTTTTTCCCCTAGTGAGTAGCAGCACTGAAGGGCGGGCATGTAGCAAGCGGTAGAGTCTTACCGCTGTGACAGGAAGGTCCCGGGTTCGTCGCGGTCTCCTTGCATTGCATAGGCGAGGATAAGGCTTGCCACTAATACTCTTCCCCAGACCCCGCACAGAGTGGGAGTTCTCTGCACTGGATACGCCGTTTTTAGTGAGTAGTAGCACTAAACATTGGCAGATATTGTTTTTCTTTAATTTTTTTGGTTGGTACAAGGTTTAGGAGTTCACATGCGAGAAAAAAGTTGGCGCCTTTTCATGTCATAAAAAGTTTCTAGTTAATAAGACTGGTTTCAGTGAGCCCCAACTGCCTGAGAACAGAGGAGCTGTTCAAAATGTTGAATTTGTTTGTAAATTTCTGGAGATTTTTTAACCTACTAAATGATTTCAGTTCCTAGCCCATTTTTTGCAGAGTTCTTCCTTGCTTGGCTCGTATCTGATTTGTGTTTTTTTCCTAGTAAGTAGTCGTATTGAACATTGGTAGATATATATATATTTTTTTTGTTGGCACAAGGTTTAGGAGTTCATATGCGAGAAAAAAAGTTGGCACCTCTTCATGTCAAAAAGGGGAAATTGTTCATTGGCGTTTTCTAGTTAGTAAGACTGGTTTCAGTGAGCCACTGAGCCCCAAAAGCCTGAGAACAGAGGAGCTGTTAAAGATGTTGAACTTGTTTGTAAATTTCTGGAGATTTTTTAACTTACTTTTGATTCTTTCTGAAAACCTAGAAATGAGTCTTGTGTCTATATAGTACAAATAACTCAGTGTTGATATTTGGTTACTGTGGTGAGCTTGATCTTTACTGTTTAGATTCATTTCTTTCAAGTTATAACCATAAGCTTGTCAAGTGCCTCGTTCTCTGCATTTGCTCTGTTTCCTCTCAAAGTCTCATCTATTCATTGTCACATGACTTCTGCAGGTTGAAGGGTCATCTACATGATCATTTCCATGCCTCTCGAAGCCCTTCTCGGACCACCAAGCGTTTCAGTCACCCCAATGTGCGCCTTCTGGTTCGGTTGTTTCACATTGGTTATCTTATTCTGCTGTATCGATGAATTCTAAGTTTATTGGCTCATGGGATTTGTTCAGGGAGAGGATCCATTGACTACCTCAGTGAGTGGTCGTCCCGATGACCTTGCTTGGCGCTGCTCATCTGATACTTTTGATATCAATGGGCGTGCTTTTGAGAGCTCAGAGAACTGGGCGGTGCTGTCAACAGAGGGCGACAAACCAGTTCCTCGTTTTGATGTAAGTAACCATATTAAAATTCCTTTCTGTTTGTAACAAATATTTCAAGTCTGTACTCCTCATCAGTATTCTGAAGTATCTGTATCTCATTCTTCGGGTTTGGGTGTAAACAGCATGCAGCAGCCATGGTAGGGAGCAAAATGGTAGTATTTGGTGGCGATTCTGGTCAGTGTTTGCTAGATGATACTAAGGTAATGGTGTGAATGCTATTCTAGTAAAGAGACATCTTCTTGACCTCTCATCTTCTATGTATCCTTCAGATATTGAGCTTAGACAAGCTTACCTGGGATTCTGTTGCTCCTAAAGTTCGACCATCATCAAATGGACGTTCTCTGAAGTTGAGGCCATGCAAAGGTCATTGTCTGGTATAGTTCTTGGTGCCCATTCTGACTAGTTAGTTCTTCATTTCTGTTTCTCAGCAGTAGTCTTGTACTTAATTACTAATTGATGTGTGCTTGGTCTAGAAGTCTCTACTGACAAAGGTCCATCATCTATGATTTTACTGGAATTTGTATTTATCAGAAAGATAAAATCGATCCCCAATTTTCGACCTTCTGTAACGCTGCATCCAAAATTCGGATATAGCCCAGCTGCCACACGGGGCAAGCAGTGGCGAATCCAAGAAATGACCGAGGGTGGACTTATGCTATAAATTTTGGCTAACCAATGACAATATGCATATTAAGGGCAAAAGTTGTAGAACAACTAATAAGAATCATGATGTTATCATGTAATAGTGAAATTATCAATGTAATACAAGTTTCATGGAGAAATATAGCACTACAAAACTTGTTAATTTTAAACTAATCACATCTCCTCCCCCACCGACAACGGCTTCATTTGCTCTCCCATCCTGCCATCCATCAACAAATGACCAAAATTCAAAATCCAAAATTGAAAATCCCCACAGCACTAGCCTTGCAGCCAGCAGGGCCAGCTGGGGCCTGCCCGGTGGTCACATGGGGGCTGGCCTATAGCCGAGCAGCTAGCTGGCCTCCTGGGGGCTGTCCGGCGGCTGTGCTGCTGGGTCCTGGCCGCCTAGGAGCGCCAAGCGGCCAATGCTAGCAGGAGGCAGGGTTGCGCCGTCGCGGGGAGGCGGGCTGGGCGGGGACTCGGGGATCCGCCGGAGGCCGACGCAGCGGCAGTGAGCGGCGGGACCGCAGGAGGGGCGATGCGGGCAGGCGGCGAGCCTGGAGTATTGGAGTGGAGGGCTCGAGGCGACGAGCAGCGTCGTCACACGCGGCCTGCCCTATCTGCGCCTAGCCTGGGCTGTGGGCTAGGTGGCTATTGGTGCTAGGCCAAATAGAGACGGCAGCGGCCCAGTCTGACTACCCTATATCTACCTCACCCCCTAGCGTCGCGGCTTGGCTGTGTGCCTGCTGCACGCGCGTCTGCCGTTCGCCGTCGCGTATTCGTCGCGGCCGGCGTCGTTCTCGCCTCCTTGGCCTTGTCACACGCCAGCTCCGAAGGGGTGGGGATACGGTGCCCGGCCAAAGGACCTGGGCCGGCCGCCCTAGCTCGCCCCAGTGGTGGCTCCGCCTATGGGGGCAAGCCCACTTGTTCATAGCAGCCTGATACTCTCTTAGGCTTTGGTCCTAGCTTCATGTAAGAGTTTTATTTTTAACCCAGAGGTGCCATGTTTGGAGCACAGTGGTTTATAAGCTCACCTGAGCCTATTTAGACAGTTAGGATACCAAGGTGAAACACTAATGGGCCAGGGTACTACACTTCCATAGTCTCCTTGCTGAGGCAATACAAGTTTAAATACAAGGGATAAGGGACAAAGTTCTCTGATTCTAGCTTTGTCTTTCATTACGTTGTAGAACATCTTACCTAGCATTAATCAAGCCTATTTTTCTTTGATATTTAGGTTCCATGGGGAAAGAATGTTATTCTTGTGGGAGGGAAAAGTGATCAGCCTTCTGACAAGATATCAGGTTTGCCTCTACTATTTAATTTTCTGAAGTGCATCAGTACATGTTGTTTATCTGATTCTCTGCAAAACTTCCAACATAAGCAATTAGGAATTCATCATTTGTTTTACTGCAGTATGGACCTTCAATACAGAGAGTGAACTCTGGTCACATATGGAAGCGAAGGGTGACATTCCGGTAAATATTTGACTGTTGATCTGAATGCCACGTAAAATACCATTGTAAATGATGGAGACTGTACCCTGATTATTAACCTCAGGTGTCTCGAAGCGGTCATACGGTTATTAGAGCAGGTCCTGTTTTAATTCTCTTCGGAGGTGAAGATGCCAAAGGGAAGAAACTACATGACCTTCATATGTTTGATTTGAAGTCATTAACATGGCTTCCTCTGAATTATAAGTAAGTTATTCTAGTCTAGAACTCAATAATAGTGTGATGTCATTACTAAGGAAAGAAAAGAAAGCATGGAGGCTAATTCGTTTCCTCTTGGACTTTTCACTGTGCTTTAAAATACAAAAAAAATGTTATAGTTATCTACCTATTGAATGCATTTTGAGCCATCCCTGGTTTCTCGCACTAAAACCCCTTAAGGATAGAATCATTATCTTACTTAACTATGCATAATTCTTTTTATTAATTCAAAGTTCATTGTTTTAGGGGTGCTGGACCTTCCCCAAGATCAAATCATGTAGCTGCACTTTATGATGATAGAATTCTATTGATTTTTGGAGGTCAGTCAAAGTCCAAGACCCTGAATGATATTCATGCTCTAGACTTTGAAACAGTAAGTACTGTTGTGCTACTTTATTGGTTTTGCTTGTTAACAGCTTGCTGAAAATTTGATGTCCTTATATTGTTAGATGGTATGGTCAAGGGTCAAAACCCATGGTCATCATCCATCACCTCGAGCAGGTTGCTGTGGAGCTCTTTGTGGGACTAAATGGTATATTGCAGGGGGTGGAAGCAAGAAAAAACGTAAGCTCTATCCTTTCACATTGTTCCTATATCATGGCAGATTAGTGACTCAGTTCCATTTATTAATAGTATGTATGTTTCCTTATAAGAATTTATAATTTTGCTACTATGGATGGGCAATATCTAACAGAAAAAAAATACCTCAGGGCATCCTGAAACATGGGTCTTCGATGTCCTCGAATCCAAATGGTCTGTTTGTGTAGTGCCTCCTAGTTCCTCAATCACTACAAAGAAAGTAAGTATAATTCTTGCTTGACTTCACCTTTCATATTAAGTGACTAGCAAGTCGCAATGAATTCACCTTTCGAGCACGCATGATTAGAAAGTGGATACAGTTTCTTTTATTTAAGATTTATGCCATCCTGAAAATCTTGAGCACTGCATAGTGCATATTATAAGATCCCTCCAAATATGTAAATACCTATTGCATATGCATAGATAAAAGGCTTCAAATTACTTTTCAAACATCTATCTTTGTAATAGTTATTCATGGGAATTGTACTTCAATGGTGGACATTTGAATTACTATAACTTTAATATGCTGCCCATTATAGCAGAGAAAAGAGTCCTCATAGGAAGAATCCATGAGATTTATGTTTATTTATGTGTTAACCATTTCTCTAGTTGCTGCACAATTGAACTCAAAACTTTTGCAGGGTTTCAGCATGGTTCCATTGTACTACAGGGACAAGATTGTGCTTGTTGCTTTTGGAGGGAATAAAAAGGAACCATCTGACAAGGTGAAGGAACTGAACTTCATTGCAAAATGGAAGCTTCATTTTTGTGACATTATTTCAGGATTAATTATTTTGTTTTCGCATTTTATAATAGAAACACCAGGAACATTTCTATGATCAATTTCAGTATTGATAAATTGACATTACTTTGTGTTTTTGAAGGTTGAAGTACTAGTGGTGCTGCAAAACGAGCACTGTTTCAGTTGGCGATCTGCACCTGAGGTGGAACCCTTACTGTATGACGACTCTCCTCCAAGCTCAAGGGAAGTTGCTGACCACCTCAACAATTGCGCATCTCTGTACTCTACTAGCTCCGTAGCGAGGAGCAGTCTTGCCACCACAGCGGAAAACTCATCTGGGAGGAAATCCCTCCCTGATTCACTGCTACAGAATTCAAATCCCGGGAGCTCATCGCTCCGCAGGCAGTTTCGTCAGGAAGAGGACTGCAGCCTGGCCCAAAAACTGCAGAAACCAATCGACGACGACAAATACAAGGATGCCGATGATTGTTCTGAGCTACCCTCAATCGCAAACCAAAAACCACGTCACGACACGCCCCAGTCCCCAGATGTTGATGCTAAAGCGAGGAGGCTGGGCAGAAGTTCATCAGACATCAACAATCATCATCAGGATACCAGGATAACCACCCTGATCAGGAGGAACATGGCACTGGAGGAGCAGCTTTCAGCCGCGCTCACGAGCAAGGACGAAGCGGAGAAGAACCTTTCCCTGGTCATCGACAGCAAGGATGGCCTGGAGAAGAGGTTGGTGGAGAAGGACAGGGAGGTCGAGGCGCTGAAGGAGAAGGCGACCGGGTTAGAACTGGCGCAGGAGGAGTCGAACAACCTGTCCAACACTGTCCACGCCGACAACGTGCGGCTGGAGCGCGAAGTGGCCTTCCTAAAGGCCGTCATGGACGAGACCCAGAAGGCGAGAGAACACCTAGATATATGTTCCATTTTCAGCTGATACTCTCTGTGATGTTGCCGTACTGATTGACTCGCTTGGTTTCATCCGTGATCAGGAATTGCACTCGACTCGTGGAGTTCTTGCAGGAGAACGCGCAAGGGCATTTCAGCTTCAGGTAAAACCTACTACCATTCAGAGTGCCATTGCCTGTTTTTGTTTTCTTTTCATATCGTGTTTGTAGTTGAATTCACTGACCTGACTTGGCATGCTGACATTGCTCTGCCAGGTTGAAGTCTTCCATCTGAAGCAACGCTTGCAGACGATGGAAGGGAGGTCACCTACACCACGAAAGCCTCAGAATCTGTAGAGTGCAGGAGTGTACAGTTTTTGAGCAATCTGTTGTAGATTCAATGTTGTACTGTAATAGGTGCCAGAGCCATTGTGATTTGTAATATTAGATACAAACGTATTTCACCATTGAGACGTAATTGTGTACAATGAGTTTTGGTCCATGCAAGATGTGTTCATCCACAAGTTCTGAGTTGTTGCTCACTTCAAGATTTCCATTGAAGACCTGACCATTGTCTTCGTGCAGACGTGTAGTTCCCTTTGATCTGTGAGCCGGTCTGTGTACTCTCTCTCTCTACTTCTCAAAATTGGTTGATGAGAAGCCAATATGTCCTCGCGAGTTCTAAAATCGAAAAATCAATGAAGAAGCGCCTCTTAAAACATTGTCAAAAATGAAAAGTATTTTTAGTTTCGGTAATGCTGGCCAGCAGGCATCTGTCCATCTGTTGGTGGGCCACGACGCTAGCCCAACTCCTCTTTCCTATCTACTCTTCCTTTTGTCGCGTGCGCCGCGTCGTCGCCCGTAGCCCCGCCGGCCACCAGCGCAGCCATGCCCCCACCGCCTCCTCGCTGCTCTGACTTGGCATCACGCCACCCTCCCTGTCCACCTGTCGTGCCGCCCACGCTTGCTCCCTCGCGCCTCAGACCGTCGAGTACTGCCGGCTCCTTGAACTCGGGGTGGGAGTCGAGGACTGCCAGCCACCCTTCTTCCGAGATCCGTCTGTCGCCTCCTTTGAACTTGATGTGGACGCCATCTTCTCAACTCCTCACCTCGGGTTGCTGCCACCGGTGAACTCCACACGCTGATGAGTCTCCATACTCAAGCAGCAAGTAGATATTGCGCTGAAAGCGCTTTGTTGCAAGTGTATGTTTCAAATGTTCCAGATGTTTTTTAGAGGTATATTGCAAGTGTGTAGATACAGATGTTGTAAAAGTAGATCGGGATATTACAATGGTTGTACACGTATGATGTAAGCTTTTGTACCCAATGTTTTACACATATGTTGTAATTATTTTATCTGAATGTTACATATGTTTTAAGTGTTTTTCATGTGTGTTTTACAAGTATTTCAGATGCATGTTTCAAAGTATTTATTCTGCCTTCAGACGTATGTTTCAAAAGTAGATCATGTGTTGCATCTCCCTCCTCACTTTCTGTTGCCTCGCCTCGGTGTCTCCTCCTCCCGGTGCCGGCTGGCATCCGCCACCCCCTCTTCTCGATGCTGGTGACATTCGTTCAGCGTGGCACCGGTGCCGGCCCCAGGGGTAGGCCACCAGGTGCGACGGCCGAGGGCCCAAGCAGAGGAGGGGTCCAAGCCTAGGTATACAAACCCCCAGGTCCTATAGTCCATTAGATATTAGCAAATTAATGAGAAGAGAAACATAGAACTGGCCAGGCGGCCTAAAAAGACAACATCGGCATTTCTTTACTAGTTTCCTTTCCCCACGGCCCTCGGGTAGAGAGGAGGCGATGAATCACGCTGCACACAACATACTCTGATCGTGAGTTCGCGACATGCGCCTTACACGACGTGCGCCTTACACACGCGGAGTTGGCGAGCCGCGCCGCCGCGAAGAGCTAGACTACCGGAGACACAGACACGGCGCACGAGGACGGCGACCATGTAGGGCTCCACGACGACGACATCTCGATTCTTGGCTTCTTATGAATTGCGATCACCGATCAATTGTTTAGGCCCAAGGTATTTTTTTCTTTTTATTTTTAATCCAAATTAATTATTTGTATTGTATTCCAGACTTTTAGTACTTTGTACCCATATAGTCATATTTTTCTTCTAATTTAGGTGTTATAATTTTAGAATGTTACCTGAGAAACATTTGTCATGGGTGAGAAGAGAAAACGAATATATTGCTTTTTTAATCTACATTATTTCTTGATAATTATCATACATCTATAAATATATGGCTTAATCTATATTGTTCCTCGATAATTATCAGACATGTTAAATTAAAAATATGTTATTGAATTTGCTTTCGTTTCGTAAGTAAAATTAGCATATATATATTATAAAATTTTATACATGATTAAGAGAGACCGTTGCCGCAAGATCACCAGCCCTTTAAATCATAGGACCGGCACTGCGTGGCACAGGCCGCGCGTGGATGCACGAAACGACACGAAAAATGACCGTAGGTGCACGAAAACGGCGTGGGAAACGGCTACAGGCGTGGGACGCCCTATCCGTCCTGACCGTAGCAAGCCCGTTTTAGTTTTATATGGGCCCATAGGCTAACAGTCATCTATGGGCCCACTTGCCTTGAGTCGGCCCCACGTGTCATCGTCTTAGTTTTTCTTCTCTCTTCAGGATTCCCCCCTATCTTCTTCCCGCGCCCCTCCCAGCCTCCCGTCCCGTGTGCACAGTGCCTCCTTCCCGACCTCCCTCCCCGCCGCGCTCCCACTGTGCGCACGCCCTCGCCGTGCTCTCCTCCGGTTGCCCCCCCCCGCCCCCAGCCCCCACCCCCCGCGGCTCGATCCTCGGCGCTCCTGGTGGTTTGTGTTTCTCATCCCCACCTCTCGTGCTCCGCGCCCGCTTCATCGCCTGAACAAAGATGGAGGCCTTCCTCGCCGGCCTCTTCGGGGCGCCTCCACGCGCCGTCCCCGGCCCTCGGGGCACGCCTCTCTCCGGCTTTCCTCTCTTCCACGGCAGGCGCCGCAGACGGCCGTCCTCGTCCGTGGTCTGTATGGCGGTAAGGAAAAAAAACCCTTCCTTTTCGGCGGTCATCTCCATTTCCTGATGCACCGGCCATTTCTTGGAGATAGAGAGCGCATGTTGTCACCTACTATAGTGGTTCTGAGCCATTTCCCATTTGGGGGGTCCAATTAATTTATGAAATGGCTTGTTGTCACTTACCCTGAATTTTTGTTCACGCTGAAGCTGAACTGAACATTGTGTGCTTTAGTAGCTGAAAATCCTAGTTTTCGCACTAGGAACGAATCCATTGTTCATATCATAGCCTCATGATTGTTCATTTTGTGTGCTCTGTGCAGGAGCCCTATCTGATTGCCAAGCTGGATTCTGCGGAGAAGGCCTGGAAAGAAATGTCGGTATGGCTACCCGTTCTGTGTTCACCTTTGGTTCCTTCTTTTTCTTCTATATTATTAGGCTTACCAATAGGCTTATATCGCCATTGTTATTATTGCTCTGAAGTTGCTTGAGTGAAAAATGTATTGTATGAAATTAATTTTAGAACCAATCAGGCTTAACTTAGGTCCGGCTTCAATGCTGTACTAAATCAATTCTCAACTTCTCATTTGTGTCAAGGAAAAGAAAAAGTAACACGTATGTAGGCAATATAAACTGCAATGCTGTAACAATGATATGGAAAAGTTTCAGTTTTGGTCTCATCCAAACGGTCATCAGTCTAATGCTTGAGTGTATGCATCAGGTTAGGTTGGCAGATCCTGACATTGTCTCAGATCCAAGCGAATACCAAAAACTTGCGCAGTCTGTTTCTGAACTGGATCAGGTATCTGGCTTACTCACTATGGTATTTAATGTTGGTGTCTACTATCTACTCAATTATACCAGAATTTGAGCTGCTAATTTTATCAAATGATGCATCACCTTTTTTTTTTTCTGTCAACAATATTTAGGTCGTGACTACATACAAGCAATTCAAGGATTGTGAGAGGCAACTTGAAGAGACAAAAGGTTGGTATGCCTCAGTATTTCTGGTGCCCGTGAGAAAATAGTAGACTCTCACTATAGCTTTTTTAACTTTGCAACATCATAGCTCTGGAAAAAGAGAACGAAGATGACCCTGATATGTCAGAGATGATAGCTTCTGAGCTGGAGGCTCTATCTAACCAGCTTGCAGAGCTTGAAGAAAAATTGAAGGTGAATAGGACATAACACTCTGCACAATAGCTACATAAATTCTGGACATTATGTTTAACTTTATGCATTCTACAATGCAAGTTTCTGTATTTTGTTGGAGAAAGTATACATTACACATTTTGATGTGCCTCTCATCCACTCTTATTTCCTCATGTTAGTTACTACTGCTTCCCAGTGATCCTCTAGATTCACGCAACATCTTACTTGAAGGTACCTCTCTCCATTTCTCAGTTGTACATTTCAACTAAGTTATATGGCTGTCCCATGAGTGTTCAACATCTTCTTGGTTTTTTTTTTCAAAAAAAGTTTTTTTCCTTCTTGTTTTGAAACTGAGAACTGTATTTCTTCAATTTTGCAGTAAGAGCAGGCGCTGGTGGTGACGAAGCTGGAATTTGGGCTGGTGACCTTGTAGGTAGATGATGATTTTATTCCAATTGAGTGCAATTTAGCAAATGTGATACAGTTGTTTTTCATTTTGTTCAAATAATAGAGTACTAAGCTTGACACACAGACCATTTATATGGACAATAATCTAGAATAAATAATGAACGTGCAAGTAGGATTACGTTTTTTTTTGGAATATAAGCTCTTCTTAGTTCATTTTTCTATTCGTATAGCAGCTATACTTCTGATATACTAGTGCATCATATTTGCAATTTTACTCACATAATCCACAACTAAATATGCCAATGGCTTTCTGTAGGTACGCATGTATCAGAAATACTGTGAGCGCAACAATTGGAAGTTTAAGCCAGTTTCTTGCTCAGAAGTATGTACTTGCAACCTTAACCTGATTATTGATTAAGATTTAAGAAAAACACTGCTCACAAGCAGACTCTTTCAGGCAGAAATGGGTGGATACAAGACATATGTAATGGAAGTCAAGGGGAAACAAGTCTATAGTAAATTGAAGTTTGAGTCAGGCGTACACCGTGTTCAGCGTGTTCCCCTGACAGAGACTATGGGTCGTGTTCATACGTCAACAGCAACTGTAGCTATTATGCCAGAGGTGGGCCATTTTGATATTTGTGTGAAGTTTTATGACATGAATTCCCTCTTCTTCAGAGATGCCTAATATTGTTTCAATGGCATAGTAGGCTGATGAAGTTGATGTGGTTATTGATCCTAAAGATATTGAGCTTAAAACAGCAAGATCTGGTGGAGCTGGAGGTAATATCACTTGCATATTGTGTTATCTGTACTAGAATACTGGGTTTTCTGTGCTGCTCCTTTATAACTGAGCATCTTCTAACATTTCAATCAATGCAGGGCAGAATGTTAACAAGGTGGAGACGGCTGTTGATCTTATTCACAAGCCTACAGGAATAAGGATATTCTGTACTGAAGAGAGATCACAGCTACAGAACAAAGAGCGGGCATTTCAATTGTTGAGAGCAAAACTGTAAGTTATAGCTATGTATAGCTTTCCAAACTATGAATTACGTTTCTCTCTATTTTTTCTATCACCTCAGTTATTTTGTTTCTAAACATGTTCTTTGACGATAGGACCATAATTACAGTGTAAATTCTGGTTTTAGAAATCTCTTATGCAAAGTAGAGTGAATCTATTTTTTCCAAATTATTTGTACTCAGTATAATACATGGTCATCTTTATGTAATATTTTTCCATTCCTAATATATATCTACCATAAACTTTACAGTTACGAGATAAAATTAAGGGAGCAACAAGAGGCAATAAGAAACCAGAGGAAATTGCAGGTATGTTGTCAATTCTTTTTTAAGGATCGTATCTTCCAAAGGTCATGACTTTGTGTCCAACTGAAAGCAACAGAAAACTGTCTTATAGATGATAAATGCTCAAATTGGATACAGAGTAGCAGAGTAGTAGACATTTACGTGAACCGTATAATATCCAGTTGGAATTCACAAAAATTTAAACAATGACAAGACAACAAAAGCTAGTGCCTTCAGTTTGTGTAGGAAATAGAGTTAGCCCTTATGAAAGATTTTGTCATCCTCTCTGTTCAGTGTTACTAATACCTGTTCAACTGAAGGTTGGTACTGGTGCTCGATCTGAGAAGATAAGGACATACAATTACAAGGTAGCAGGACATCCTATCACCTAGAAACTTGTCTTTTCTTTCTCTGTTATGTTTGGGAAGGAGCTCTTCTTATTCTTTAAAAATCGCCTCCAATATTTATACAATTTGAGGTCTTTTGCTCACAACAGGATAACAGAGTGACAGACCATCGATTAAAGATGAACTTTGAACTGACCGGCTTCCTTTTAGGAGACATCGAATTGGCTGTTCAGGTATATTACTTGACAAAAAAAGAACAATGCAAATGTGGCAACGTGCAACTATTACAGCAGAGATGATGTAATAACATGAGTCCATCTCTATAACAATCTCATTTGTTATTTAAACATCTACAGTCTTGTGCTACAATGGAGCAGCAGGAGCTCTTGGAGGAAATGGCCAGTTCTGTGGGCGCAGTGAACGTATGATTCAGGCAATTCGGCGTGGAGATCAGGTTATCAAACAAAAAAAAACCGATGAAGATGATTGATAGTTGTACATGAAGAGACTGACAAAAATGAACTCCACATAGGAAATTTTTCTGTAGTCCACATGGTCATGAGTTCATGACTAATGCCATAGAACACACCACATGGTCCTTGACGGCAGCATACTTTTGAGTATTAGAAAATATACATGGTATGTACAATTCAACTGCTCCAGTATTCACAGTTTAATGCATTTTAGGTACGATGTTCTGTGAAATTCTTTTGTTCACAATGTATAATTCTTTAAGAAAAAAAATGCAAATATCCATTTATGAAGACAGCTATAGCCATGTGCTAAGTTAAGTAGATTACCAGTTCTCCCTTTCCCCATCCGTGTCTTAATGAAAAACGTTGCACATTCTGGCTAACAAATTTACAAAATTGTTTTCACAGTTATAAAAAAGACTTTGTTTTTGGCATTCATAACAAAAATTCAGTTCAGCTTGCAATATAGACAGACTCGCTTTGAGGAGTTGAGCTTGGATTGCAAGTTGACAACCTAGATTTTGTTAATACCAAAATTTCTTACATTTTGAGATGAGCAACACCACCACACTTTTATTATGCTTTTGAGATGAACAACAACAATATACTGCTAGTAGTTATACTAGCTGACACGTGAGATGACTTGGGGCGTGTTTAGTTTAGGCCCTAGGGCCCTAAACAAAATTTGGCCGGTAGGTAAAAATTGGACACCATTTGGTCTATGACCAGGGTTTGGCGTGCCCTGAAAATTTGGCATTGCCCATCTACACTTACAGGTAGCTGATGCGGCAGCCCATGAGTGGTTGCATGCGGTTCAAGATTTTGAGAGTGGATTTCTTTAAATTAAATCAAGATATGTCTTAAACTATGCATCAGATTTACAAACCGTTTTCACCAAATTATTGCTTGCAGTTAAATCTACAAAAAAAAAAAAAAAAAAAAAATCTCAGTTAGCTACATTTCAACCAAAAAACAATTGACTGACATATGAATCCCACATGTCAAATCATACATAGAGTTTTCGCATGGCTCCAATCCAGACACGTACTTTTGCTCTTAAATTTTAGCATAGCCAAACTGCGGCTTGGCCATGAACAAAACACTTACTATTCCTTCCTATTTTGGCATGGCTCCAACTTTGGCATAGCCAAATTTTGACAGGTCCTTTTGGGTTACCAACCAAACAGCCCCATAATAGCCCTTGCACTCGGAAGATTTCATAACACGCTTAGCCTCTGCCTTGTCCGTCCACCCCCGTTCACCACCGGCATTTCACCATGGCTGCTGCCAAGCCCCTCGTGGTCGTCATCGCCTTCCTCCTCGCTGCCGCTGCCACCGTTCCCTTGCCTGACGGTGGTGGGGAGCTCCCTCCGTTCACGCTCCTCCCGGCTGAACCCCCTGCCGTCTCCTTGCCTGATGGTGGTGGGAACAACCTCCCGTTCACGCTCGTCCCAGCTGACCGCGCTGCCGCTGGGTGCCGCGGGTCCGTGGGCATGTGCCCGGCGAGCGACGAGGTGCGTGGCCTCGGCAAGGGAGCAGGGGCTTCCACCATGTCGGCCGATCCTGAACGGGTCCGGCGGCGGGTACATCACCAACAGCGCGACAGCGTGCCGTGCTCGCGCCGCGGTGCCAGCTACTACAACTGCCGGCCCGGTGCCCAGGTCAACCCCTACCGCCGCGCCTGCTCCCGCATCAAGCACTGCCACGGTTGAAGCCATGGTTCCTCTTCGCCATCCAAAGAACTCTGTGTACTGCGTGTTTTCTTGTACCGGCAAGGTGTCACAAGCTCTTCTGCCCTTGTATCAGCAATGTTTAGGGCCTGTTTAGACACCAAGAGCTAATTGTTAGCTAGCTAAAAATAGCAAAAATTAGCCCTAGCCCATCCAACAGGGGCTACTTGGTGAGCTATTTTTTTTTGTCCAAACATCTAACTAGTTGTTAGCCAATTGGCTAACCTTATACTAGCCCTAGCCATCTAAACAGGCCCTTAAATATGTTATTGTTTGACTAGTTCTTGCTAGTATAGAACTATATATATACGATGTTGCTTTAAAAATTCATGGTTTTCATGCCATTGATGCCTGCCTGCCTGCCTCCATCACCCAGATTTCCTGTTAGGCACATTGAAGCTGGGGATAGAACTCAATACCTGCTTCTGCTTGGTCTCCCAAATATTGTGGCTGTTCTAATATGGATGTCTTCATGTGACTGTTCCCTGGTTGGCACTTGCAGCATGATGCTCATATCCATCAAGAGTTTGATATTTCTCACCAGAACCAACCAAGTGATGTGCTCACTCTCCCTGGTTTCGCACCTGGAAGGAAGATGTGTGAACTCCATTTTTCTCCTGAAACGAAAGGATCAGGTGTTTGTTTATTTTCAATTTATTAGGACTAGTATTAGTTGGATTAGTTCTGCCATGTGAGTTGTGATCGATCACTCTCCCAACATGCCTGTCATGTGGAATGCTTGTTAGGGAGTGTAAGCCTTGCCTATCAGAACATGTGTTCATGAAATACTTTTATGTTGCTTTGAGGTGCATTTACATACCATGATGGCTTCCAGTGACATTGTTAAGAAACCCAACTGTAACTCTGTAAGCATGCTTAATTTCGAAAAGGAGAATAGAGCTTACATGATGCATGGACAATGCTACTGCCTTCTGCCAATAATGTCGAGCTTGAGGCATTCAACAATACTCCTCTTATCCAGTGATGGCTGTCTTTAGCAACAGCATATTACAATTTTCCATGATATACCTCACCACAAAAAATGACTGCTCTGTAACTGCAAAAGTGGCTTGTAACCACAAACATCTAACAAATTGTTCACTGTCATGACCAGTTTAGTCTGTACAAGGCAGGAGCTTTCTCAGTGTAATGGAAGTTCTTCTGTGCTGCTCAAGTTCCCTGCCATCCCAAAGCTGTCTGCCTGGTTTGCGGTCGATCTCATGCTTCCAGAGATACCTTGCATCGCCAAACATGAGAACAAGGGAGCCTGGGTTCAGCAAAACGGGGACCTTCGAAGATTCACCACCCCCTTGCTTCAGGGTGTCAGAGCCCGCGCTTCCGCTTGTTGGTTCTGCTTGACTGAAGTGCATCACACAAGCTGACTCAAGAGAGACTATTGCAATCCCATCACAAAGCGCATCAGATCAACATGAGCACAGATACCCTAGATTCAATAACAGAACCATAATGTTAAGAGTGCAAAAAGAATGCATCACTTTTCTGAACGATATGTTTCCTTGTGAATATGAGACAGTTCCGCACCTCACCTGGCCTGTATCTGTTTGCAATCATCTGATCGAAAAATGGCTCCCGCCACAACAAATCTGATGGAAGAGGACATGCATCTTCATCCTCGTTTGTCACCTCTGCATCAAGACCAACACTGGCGTCACCAACACAGATAGCTTCACGGATAAGTGCAGAAAGCTCAACAGCCCATGAAGGGAGATCGCCAAATCTCATTGCCTAAAAAGAAGATAGGAGCAGAAGAACTTAAACATTAAAATGATAGACAAGGATGGAAATCTTCGTATAGTTTGAACTACTTTAGGAAGCCTTATACACAAATCAGGCAGTCTTTATGGCACTACTGAGAATATTGAAAATCCTACCGCTGACAAACATTAGGCAGATACTGAAAAGATGAGGGGGAAAAACTTACTTGGTTGTTTGCATCAACAAACCATCCTTCTGCAAAAACCAAGCCATCAGACTTACGATAAGCAATGAGCTATGGTTATTTCTGTTGTTGAGCAATAAGAAACTAGAGCAGAGTTTCTTCTGCATAGGTACTAGGAAGTTTTGCTACTCCTCAACTGGGACATGTAAAAGTTAACCAATCCAGAGATAAGTATATTAATGGTTCGAGAACAAAAGACTTATTTCAAATTACAATTTAACATAGTTACATATAGCTAGATAATTTTATAATAAGAACTAGTAATACACAGTCAGAGGAAAAAAGGGGATTAAGGTACCTATTGCTAACATTAGTAATTGCACCGCTGGCCGCATCTGTCTAAGCAGATCCGGTGATTGTAATCATCACAAAGAGTCATAGATGGACCATTAACGAATAAGTAATGTCCTGACTGAAACCAAATTAAACAGAACACGAAGCTAAAAATATTCCCCTTTTTGCTCACAACAAGATGAGGGAGGCTACAGGAGGTCCCAGCAACCGATGACTCACCTTGCTGGATCGCATTTAGGAGGCGCGCCTGCTCGTCGGCGGAGAGGAAGGCAGCGCACAGCCACAGTCCCCTGACCCCAGCCACCGCCTCCCACCTCCAGTGCCCGCGGCCCGCTCCGGGGCTGACACCGGCCGGTGTGTCGGAGTCGCTGCCCGACGAGTCACCGAAGGCCTCGCGGAGCGCGTCCCGGCAGTGGGACTCGCCGCCGTCGCCGGCCGCGGCCATGTGGTTTCTCCGTAGAGCCGCTTCGTTCGCAGGGGCGTACAGCACGTTTCAACTCGTTTGCACACCAATTCGGATACCGTGTCCCACGTGGAGTTTACGTAAAACTAGTATTACGCCTTCCTTTCTCGGACCAGCTTGGCCTTGGATGCACACGATGCTTCACTTCCAGGCCCAGCCCGGCCTAGTGAACGAAGAACATGTTTAGATTACTGGCGTGGCTACTGCCCGGACTCCGGACCCCCGCGCAGCCCTTCCAGATCCGCTCCTCTCTCTTCGCGCAGGCGGCACTCGTGAGCCGAGACCTGGCGTGCCTCGACCGAGCACTCGTCCATCCATCCGCCTGCTAGCCCCGTCTAAAGCCCCGGGCGCGTGCTCCCATCCTCCCGCCCCGGCCGAACAACATAAAATACTTGCAATATGACAAAAAATTTGAATGCAACATACATATGAAAAATAAATAAAACACTTGGAATATGCACTTGTAACATATGTGTGGAACACATGAAACATCTAAAAAATAACACTTGCAACTTGCAACATGAAACCACTTGCTGCAACATAAGATTGAAACAGCTGAAATATTTTGGAGCATACTATTGCAACATATATGTGAAACATATGCAACATCCGAATAAAAAACGATTGCAACATACATTTAGAAACAGATAAAATATTTTGAACAAACACTTGCAACATAAGCAATACATGCAACATCCCCCAATCAAAATGAAACAATAGCAACATACATCTAAAACTCTCAAACAATTGAATCATACATATGCAACATAAGGGAGGGGGAGGTCGGGGCCAGTCGATTCCAACCGCCATGGTCCGAGTCGGCAGCGAGCGACAGCCCAAGCACCACCACCACCAGCAGCAGGCTTGGCTCGCCCGGACGGGCGCACTAGCACTAGCGTGGACGCACCACCACCACAAGCGCCATCAGCACCAGTCTTGGCTCGCCCGGGCGGGCAGTGTGCGTGACGGGAGGGGGCGAGAAACGCTCGCAATGGGGGCGAGCAAGCGGTGCTGGATGGGGCACACGGCAGCAGCGAGGCAGAGTGGCATCCACGTTCGGGACGGTATAGATAGAGTGGTATCCGCAAGGCGATGTGGTGGAGAGGAGGTAGTGGAAGACATAAGAAGGTTTGTTCTTCTTTTTTTATAGAACGTTTGGGGGCGATGGCGAGTGGATGAGCGGTGTTGGGCTACGTCGTGGCCCACCATTGGGCCATGCGAGTAGTCCTTAAATTTGAAACGGCTCAAAAGAGCTAGAACTTGATGAGTCATTGGGTAACACGGGTTGACCAACGAGCATACCTTCGTCTGTGGGATCTATATCCATCTGCACTCCACCAGGGAGACCCGACACTGGCTATGGATTAGGGTTTGGAGTCTCCGGGGGTGGCGCCAACGGTGGCTACCTCTGGAGCTCCCTCTTGGTTGGCTAGATCCCCTCATTCATCCTCTCCCTTGCAAGAAGTGTCGACAAGACGTCAAGAACCCACCGTGGCATTCATTGTTGAGTGTAATCCTTGTGTGCAAGATTAATTATTGGTGTATTAGGATATATAGTAGTCAATTAGGCTCATGATCACTGCATGATTTTGCTTGTGTTGGCTTGATCGAAGGGCATGATTTGTTTCCTTGTAATTGCTTACTTAAGCAAAGTAACAGAGTATGAAAACACTGCCAAGTTGACAGCACCAAAATGTGATCATGTCCACTGTGTTTTGCTGTGAGTTTTGTCTTGGCCGTAACCGTGCCGGCGACGTGATCATCATTGTATCTTCGGTGAGTTTCGACAAGTGGCATCAAAGCCGGTTTTGTTGAGGCCGGATTCAATGGGTGACTAGAAGAAGCCAGTCGACGGCTCCTCCAACTCCAAGTACAGCGTCATGATCCAACATGTGATTCGTGAGGTAGGTGGTAGGATCGGAGTAGCTACCCCATCCTCACCAAGGCTAATTACTCCGATTGGGTGCTCAGGTGAAGGTGAAACTGAAGGCAAGGGTGCTTTGGAACATCATTGAGGATGAGGGCGCCGATTAACAAGAAGTGATGATGGCGCTTGACACCCTCTGTAGTGCGGTGCCACTAGAGATGGTGTTAGCACTAGAAGATAAGAAGACGGTGAGGGAGGCCTAGGAATCCATCGCGAAGATGTGGGTCGATGATGACTGAGTTAAGAAGTCTACCATGGTGCAGCTTCGGTGAAAGTTTAGCTTGGCGACGTTCAACGATGATGAGATCCATTCATTTACCGGGGTCTAATATTCCTCGGTTGACGATGAATATCGTGAGCATCGAGCAACCCAATGAGGTCAGGTACAGGGTCGGCATCGACGATGGAGTCATGTACATCTGGGAGCCAGGTTGTCATCTCCTGGTGAAGGTGACACACATGGTAAACTGGTTGTATGTGCTCAACATCACCTCCGGTTTGTCTGGCGGCGTGCGACGATGCAAAGGCTTGGTGATGGCACGCGTGCCTCGGTCATGTGAACATGGTGGGGCCGCGGAAGCTAGCTCAGGAGGAGCTGGTTCAGGGTCTGCTTGAGATCAGGCATGTGGAGCCGGTGTGCGAGGCGTGCAGGCTGGGAAGCAGAAGGCACATCTCGTTCTCGAAACAAGCAGAGTACCGCGCACGGGAGCTCCTCGACTTGGTGCATGGCAACCTGTGCGGTCCCATAGTGCCGGCAACTTCGAGGGGCAACAAGTACTTCCTGTTGCTGGTGGACGACCTAAGCAGATACATGTGGGTGGTCGCGATTCCTTCCAAGGATTGCGCAACGGCTGCCATCAAGGAGATCCAAGCGCGGGCAGAAGGCATGCCCGGGCGCAAGCTGAGGGCACTCTGCACCGACCATGGTAGTAAACTCACCTCCATGGTGTTTGCCGAGTAATGCATGATGGAAGCAGTCCATCACCAACACATCATGCTGCACATGGTGGAACACCAGAACGGCACGATGGTGGCTGCGGCGAGAAGCATGCTCAAGGCGAAAGGGCTGCCTAGGTGGTTCTGGGGCGAGGCAGTGAGTACTACTATATATGTGCTGAATAGGTGCCCAACGAAAAGTGTTGTTGCATTGACTCCATTCGAGGCTTGGCATAGGAAGAAGCCAGCCGTCCACCACCTCAGGACATTGGGCTGCATCGTCTATGTCTGAAACACGACACCTCACCTTAAGAAGATAGAGGACAGAGGCTGCGAGATGATCTTCATCGGCTATGAGCATGGAGCAAAGGTGTAAACCCATTGCGAAGAGCATCCATGTGACGCGAGATGTTGTGTTCAACGAACAAGCCCAGTGGGACTAGGGCACAGTCGGCGACAGCAGCACAGCTTGTAGGAATGATGATGTCTTCACGATGGAGTATTCCATTATCATGAAACAGGCACCTCTGATGGTCGAGGACACCATGGAGACGCCTAGAGCTGAGGTGCCCTAAGACAAGCTGACACCGCCGCCATTGCCACACGCTGGTGGAGTAGCGACCAAGGTTTTTAATTTCGGTATCGCCAAAATTTCGGTCACCATTGAAATTACCAATTTCGCGAAATCGGTCGAATTTTTTGCCGATTTTTTTTTTAGAGATTAGCACATGAAGTATGCTTTTTCTAAAAAATTGGATCTAAACAAATATTAGTATGATTTATGACTACATATCTATTAAATAGAAGAATATGCAATATAAACAATAGAAAATATAAGATTAGAGTTATATAGCACATGTATTAGTGTATTAAAAAATTTGGAGTTTTTCTTTCGCCACCATCAAATTACCGAATTTCGTGAAATTCGCCAAAATTTCGCCAAATTTTGAACCACCGGTAGCGACGCGGGTGGATTGCCGGGAGCACAGAGCAGTAGAGTTTGCCTTGCCGCTAGGAAAAATGGCGACCGCTGGACGCTGACCACGACGAGGATGCCCGACTTGATTACGGAGGACCGACAACATCCTTGGACCAAAGATCGCCTATCGGGTTCATGCCATGGGCACTTTGGTTGCGATGGAGCTGTGTGGTGAGTTCCGATGAACCCAGTTCATTTGTTGAAGAAGAACGCAGCCCGAGCTGGTGGAAGGCGATGGTGGAAGAGATGGAGTACATCGAGGACAACTAGACATGGTTCTTGGCGGACCTCCTACCTAGATTCCAAAGCGATTAGGTTGAAATGGGTCTTCAAGGTGAAGAGGGATGAGCATGGGGCGGTGGCCAAGGACAAGGCGTGCCTCATGGTGAAGGAATATGCACACACTACTACATAAATTGTTTTGCGAGACACTACTGAACAATTAACACAGGCCATCACAAAACTCACCTGTCTCTTAAAATACCTCAGGATTTGGAAGGCAGACTTTTTGTTTGTGGAGGCGGTCACAAATTGACCATCTCTTAAAATCAATTTATGGAGGTAGACATTTTATTTACGGAGGCAGTAAAAAATTGACCGTCTCTTAAAATAGATTTACGAAGGTGGACCTCTTAAAAGGTCACCTCTAAAAACGGTGGCCATATTCAGAGGTGGACCTTTTAAGAGGCCCGTCTTCGTTAATGTGGCCAAGCTCACTACTGTCCTCTATGAGCCCATCTCAGCCAGTATCTGGTTTGTAGTATATAAGAAGAGAAGCACTAGCTCTCTATCTCCTCCCACCCTGGAGATTCAGTCACTTCCATCTCTCTTGCTCTCTCTCTCTCTCTCTCTCTCTCTCTCTCTCTCTCTCTCTCTCTCTGCTAGCTCACACGCCCATGCACTTCTCTCTTTTGACGACGATGACAACTGCTCTAGGAAGCAAGGGCTCATCATCTAGCGGTAGATCCCGGCAACGGGAGGACCGCTCGCACCCCGGCTGTAGGGCCGCTCGCGCCCACCGGTGGTGGCAGCCGCTCACGCTCGCATCCTGGCGATGGAGGGACGCATGCACCACTCACGCTGGTGGCGAGGGGCTCTTCCGCGGCGACGGCGGCAGTGGCTCTTCCAATGTGGCCGGGG